TAAAGTTTAGATAATTATGTAATGTAAGTATTATTTGGCTTGGAGACAAACGTTAAGATAGAAAATAAAATAGAATTGATTAAGTGAATTGGATGACGTAATACAGTTGAGTAGAATTCAGAGTAGGTCAGGTTGGCAACAGTGTTAATGAGTGGTGGTTAAAATTAAATAAGGGTGGGGTTAGAGAATAATACAGTTGAAAATAAGTAAGTTAATCGAGTGACGTAACATAGTTGACTAGAAATTGGACGTGGGTCAAGTTAGCAACATTGTTAATGAGGGTAGAAATTACAAAAGGGTGGGGTAGAGAATAATATAAATGAAGATGTGAAATAATGAAATGATAAAATAAAATGAAAAAGACAAAATAATACAATTAGTAAGACTGAAATTAAGAAAGATTACGTCCATTGTAGATTTAATGAATGAACGAATTTCTTTTGTATGCAGAGTTCAGGATTTAGCAGATGAATTGCCATTGCTTCTGCGATGTGGAGAAGTTTGATCCGTACACTTTTAGCAAGATTGCCTTGTATTCTGTAGATAACTTTGAAGTTTGTTTCTGGTTTGACTTGGTGTCCAGAGTCGATCAAATGTTCAAGGATCGAGCTGCGAGGGCATCGGTTTTCTCCTTTATAAAACCATGAAGGTAAATGTTCGTTGACGCGTTTGGATAGCGAACGCTGAGTACGGCCGATATACCTGGCTCCACACGAGCAGGTGAATTGGTAGATGCACATAGATGAGGCCAACAGCGGTAGCTTATCCTTCACGTTCATACGAATCATTGGTCTCGTGGAGAACGTCAGTCGTAACTCAGCTGCAGGGAAGGTTTTCTTCAATGAGCGGGAGAGCCGATTTCTCAGTATTTCTGTAGATTGGTCTCCATTGAACTGTAGGTTCATGTAGAGGAGTCTTTTTGGAGCACTGGGTGTTGGCGGCTTCTCTGGTCTGGGTTTCATTGATTTTGTGATAAATCTTTCTGGATAGCCATTTTCAAGGAGAATTTTCTTAAGAGTGTTCATTTCGTCTTCTATGGCATCCAGGCTGCAAATTCTACGTATTCTGTGGCTTAGTGAACGGATTAAGTTTCGTTTAGTATATAGAGGCACCCAACTGTGAAAGTTAGTGAGCTGTCCGTTCCACGTTGGCTTTCTGTAGATGGATCTTTTTAATGTACCGTCTTGTTGGCGTCTCGTTAGTTGAACGTCAAGAAAAGATATCTTTGAGTTAGACTCTTTCTCTAGTGTGAACTGAATCGCAGGGTGGCAGTTGTTGAAGAACTTCAGGATATCTTCTTCGTGATTTATCATATCCAATAAAATTCTTTTGGTCTTCGATATTAATATTCTTTTTACTTCATATCTCTGTTTTTACTGTCTCTATTTTTGCATTTTTCTTTTTTACTTTCTTCTCTTGCTTTGTGTACTAAGCGACTCGAACTACTGCACATCTGTACAAAGTTCTACGGTGACACCAGTCAGTCAGCTAAAGTTGACCAAAGAAAATAAGACGAATTGGAGGATGTGCTGTTGAAGGCCTATGTTCCACTCAGAATCCAAAAGGAACAATAAGATGATGATAATAATAATAATAAAATAATTCCTGATTTGCAATACCCACCAACTCATCATATTAGAAAAATCTGCAGCAACGATTGCATGGAAGAGGAGCTCCTATTCCTCAAAAATATCCCGGCTCAAAATGGCTACCCGACACGTTTTGTCAAAAAGAACATGAAACCTAAACCAAAAAGAGAAGAATGCGATTCAGTGCCAAAGAAAACGCTGTATCCGAATCTGAATTTCAGGAGAGATTTGGCAGCCGATATCCTGAAGAGGAGAGTATCCAGCTCTTTTTTTTTTTTTAGATTTACAGCTTAATTCCACACTGTATTTTCGGTACAAGTATGGAATTTTCAGCATGGATATCGGTAGCCCAAATTTCGCAGGCCGACCATAGATATCAGGTGTGCGCCGGCGTGGGCTCGAACCCCGGACCATGTGCATGGTCGGCGAGAGTCCTAACCACTGTGCCACCGACGCACAGTAACACCAAGAGTGACATTCTCTAGCCGTCCAATACTTCGAAACAACGCGAAAGACAAACTCTTGCATATGACCAATTCAATGTGCATATACCAGTTCATCTGCTCGTTTGGACATAGGTATATAGGTCGTTGGTTGCGCATCCTTTTAAAACGTGTTAGAGAATATTACCCAGCGTAGCTGCAAAGAGGAAGCACCGGTTTAATCAGAAGTGCCATTATTGAACATCTGATCAACAACACCTCGCACATCTCAACTGATTCATTCAAAGTAATTTACAAAGTCAACAGAAACCTACCAAAAGCAGTATGTTTCCGATTTCTCTGTACTGCAGAAGCCCTCGCAGTATGCATCAAGAAGCCGGAGTTGTGTGTTCAAAAGAAATTAGTCCAACCTCTACAACTACCATGGACCTAGTTTGGTATGTTCCCTTTACTTCCGTTTTTCCTCTTGTTTTCGTTCTCTCTTTTCTTTTTGAGCATTTTTTCGTTCGCTGCCTGCCTGATCCTTACTCCCTCAGTCTTCATTCGATTCACCCCATTTCTGTCTTCAGTTATAAAAACAGTTATTTTGAAGTTTGTTTCCATGCTTTCCTGTTCACATTTATAATTCGTTTAAAGATTAACTATTTTACAGTTATATCTTAATCCTGTGCAATTTTTGTGTTTCTAAGGCTCTCGTAATCTTTATTCACACCTCATAACTCCCATCTCAAGTTGAAAATCATTATTTCAATTTTTTCGCTTCCATGCTCATTTTTACACACTTGTGTTAATTTTGTTTCTAAGCCTCTCCTCGTAAAAACCATATCTAGTTGAAAATAATTGTCACCTTCTATTCGCTGTCGTAATTATGCGGAATAAAACAAGAAAATGTATCCATGTAAAATTATGTATTTAAATGCGACTGTACAGCGGTTTTTGAAAATGAAGTCGCCGAAAAGATCACCATCTTTACTGAACTTCGTGTTCTCTTCTTACTGATATGCAATTAGGTAGTGTTATCAACTGACATTAAAGCGTCGGTGGCATAGCGGTTAGCACACTCGCCGACCATGCACATGGTCCGGGGTTCGATCCCCGGCCGACAAGGCACTCCTTCAACTAGCTAAGCCAGAAATAATGCTGGTAAAGAGGAGGAAAGGTTGGGCATGAGGCTAGCAATCCCATCCTGTGAAATAATCACCACTGCTACGGAAACTTCAAGCCACTAGCTTGAAGCCCTATGTTCCACTGGGGAACGTGAAGGGAAAAAAATCAACTGACATTAGTATCCAAACTGTATTTGTTGGTATTTTTTCTACGATCATTTCGTATCTTTTGAAGTTTCTGTAGCAATTGTAGTAAATTTCCGGTGTAGGGGGTTGTTAACGAGACAAGAAGAGATAACTGATAGAGTTACCTAACCAACCAATCACTCTCATCAAAATGAGGAAATTGGAATGAAGTCACTTCTGTCACTTATCTATCTAGATAGCGTCTTTTCAGGTAAAGGTAACAACACAACCACAAAAAGAAAGACAGACCCTCACCAATCTAAAATCATCAGTGTGGAAACCAACTGTAGTCAAAAATAAAGAACAAGATACGGATTTTTCAATATTAACGCCATATCAGTGATTTTATTGTGTGGTTAACAAACTTGACACCTGAGTCACCAAAAACCGCCTTCTTCGCTGGCTCCATATATTACTGAAGATCAGATGGCCGACCAGCTAGAAAGAATTAGCAACAAGAAACTCTGAAAACGAACCAACCAAGAACTTATCACCCAACGAATATGCAAGAGAACATCGAAATGGATCGGACCCACGTTGAGGAGACCACCACTGAGTGAAATCACAGCCTAGATAGATACTCTCGAGTGAAATCCATATGGGAAATGATGAGTCCGGTGTGCTTGCTTTACTTCGGCTATCTCCTACGGGAGGATGAGCCGGCTTCATGAACAAGAGTTCATGAAGTTTCATGGGAATTGGGTACGAGTGATGTCCCCAGAATCGCTCGGCCTTTTGTTTGAGAGTGCAGCTCTAGCCTTTACACAGCCAAGTGTGACCTAAAAGGCAGTAGGAGTGGAGTAGGGAGTCCACTATCCATTGGCAGCCGGTGACCGGAGTCCGGTTCATTCGCCTTTTTGAATGGGGCCAGTCATCCAGGGCATCCAATAAGCCCTTTGTCCATACGTCTGCCGGTGAGCTCCTTTTTTTTTATACGCCAGTCGTTGGAGGTTTGGAATCAGGGTTTAGCCATCTCCCCTAGATTGTCATCCAATGGACAGTCAACCCGGTGAAGAGCGCCGGGCACCCGCTTTTGCCCTCTCACTTTGGTGAAAAACACCTCCGCCACGTGAAGGCAGTGAGTAGGACTTCCTCAGGAGAGGCTATGTAAGACGCCCGGTCATATGGGAGCATTTCAAGAGGTGTGCGGAGGTGGCCAACCCGCAGCGCAAGACACCCACCCCCGACCATCCTGAGGCTTTGGAGGCAAGTCCGGTGTGCGTCCGAGGATGACAAGAACAAGATCGGTGTGTCAGGAGGGAATGAAAGCGCGTATGGTCGACCATCAAGGTAGCCAGAAAAAGTCAGTACATACCACAGTGAAACGTAGATGTGCTGCTAAACCTTTATGTTCTGTTCGGAACCCAAGGCAATAACAGTAACAATAATGAACAAGGTCCTTCTTTTAATAAATATTCATTTGTCATAAGTAAATAAGCAAGTACATACACTAAATTCATACACATCACTAGAACAGTTATTAAAATCATCATTCAAGAAAGATAAACTAGACGATCAAGTAAAAAAAAAGAGAAAAAGGCAATCAAAACACTAAAAATTATCCAGATCATCAAAAGATCAATCACAGTTGTGTGTACACAAATACATATACGCTATATAAAAAACACCATAAAATAAACAACACACACACACAGATAACTCTTCCACCACGCCATCTAACAACCTTTGTTCGGTTGATCTATCCGTATTAGTTTCTCAGCTAGTGAAAAATATGCTCGATAAGCAACAGTTGGACCGTGTGTATCAAAATGACAATGACCACAATTGGTTTGATCTTGATTGAAACAATGGAAATGCTCCAATCGTAGACCAAGTCGATGCTGTGTAGAAGACAAAACAGAAAACAGATTAATCAAAATGAAACAAAATATGATCAGAGATGCTCATTACTCACTGACATATCAATTGGAAATCCTAAGTCACAAGGAGTGGATGCATCTTCGCCAGTCAGCCACTGAGAACGATGAGTTTGAGCCATATCACCAATTGTCTCCAGTCACCATTGGTTTTTACCGTCCGAGGACCCCAACCAGGAAGTCCACATCTTCCTACGTGGCCGGCTTAAACTAACTGTTGTGGATTTCATTGACTGGCGCCATGTTTTGGCTTGACTTCCGCTGTCTAGCTCTTTTCCAGCCTGACCCTATGTCAGCTAACATTGCCCGTCGAGTCCCATCGGATTGGTGTAAGTCACTGATTATCCCCACATACAAGAAGAGAGACAAGTCTTCCTGTGATAATCACAGGGGGATTAGCTTGACTAATATAGTATCCAAAGTCCTAGGCTCAATAATCATGCGTAGACTAAGTGGTGCTCGGGAGGCACAAACACGAGAGAGCCAGGCAGGCTTTAGGCCAGGAAGAGGGTGTATTGATCATATCTTCACCCTCCGACAGATTCTAGAACATAGGCATTCTTACCGGCGCCAAACAATTACTATATTCGATTCTATCGACTGAGAGGTTCTCTGGAGATGCTTGGCTGTAAAGGGAATTCCGAGAAAATATATTGCACTGATTAAGGCACTCTATTCGTACTCATACAGCCAGGTGAGGGCTTACGACAAGTTGTCATCTGAACTGGTGACGACTAGTGGTGTCCGTCAAGGACGCCCATTATCCCCTTTTCTATTCAACTTCATCATAGACGTACTAATGGACTTAACCCTAAGTGACTTCAGCGACTCAGGGATTGAATCGCTACCAGGGAATAATCTCGTTGACTTCGATATAGTACTTCTAGGCGAAGACACTGACAAAACGCAAAGTCTTCTGAACACCTTGAGCCACAATCTACGAATGTTTGGCATGCGATTCGCTCCCGCCAAATGCAAGATGATGTTACAAGACTGGAATGCAGCGACTCCTAGATTAGAAATAGGAAGTGAAGTGGTAGAGCACATTGACCGCTTCACTTATTTGGGAAGTACCATTAGCCAGTGCCAACGGGTTGATCTCTGACGAAATCTCGGCACGAATACAGGGGGCTCGCTTCGCATTTGCCAGTTTACGCTATTCGACTATCGACCAAAGGGCGGGTGTACTGCTCATCAGTCCACTCCATCCTCCTTTATGGCTGCGAGACCTGGCCACTGAGAGTGGAAGACATGAAAAGATTAGCTGTCTTTGATCATAGGTGCCTACGCTCTATTTCGGGTGTAAAGTGGCATGATAAGGTGAGCAATATTGCGGTTAGGCGTCGACTTCTAGGTAAACAGGGGAAATCAAACGACGAAGTCGTGAATTTACAAAGACTGAGATGGTTAGGACATGTGTTACGTATGCCTAGTCATCGCATTCCTCCACCGACAGGCGATGTTAGCTGACATAGGGTCAGGCTGGAAAAGAGCTACACAGCGACGGGCAAACCAACACATGTCACCAGTCAATGAAATCCACAACAGTTAGTTTAAGCCGGCCACGTAAGAAGATGTGGACTTCCTGGTTGGGTTCCTCAGGACGGTAAAAACCAGTGAAGGCTGGAAACAATTGGTGATATGGTTTAAAATCGTTCTCAGTGGCCCAGATGCATCCACTCCTTGTGACTTATGATTTCCAATTAAACTATGTTGTTCTTCGTTACTACTATTCCTTTGTCTCACACCTCTGTTTACTATCTCTATTATGCCTTCCTTCTCTTACTTTGTGTGCTACATGGAGTGTGGAGACTTGAACTGCCGCATATATGTGCAAAGTTCTATGTCGAAAACAGATAGAGTCCGTCGAGGAAGGCAATGGATGACTAGGCATGCATACCTAACACATGTCCTAACCATCTTAGTCGATGTAACTTTACAGCCTCGTCGATTGATTTCCCCTTCCACCTACCTAGCACTCGACCGATGCCTAACCTCAATATTGCTCACCTCATTATACCACTTCACACGGGAGATACAACACAGGCACCTATGACCAAAGACAGCTAGTCAGCCTTTTCATGTCTTTCACTTTCAATGGACAGGTGTCACAGCTAGCCATAAAGGAGGACGGAGCGGACTGATGAGTAGTACACACGCCCTTTGGTCGATAGTCGGATATCACGTCTACGCCAGAGACGGAGTAAACTAGCATATGCGAAACTAGCCTCCTTTGTATCCGTGCTGAGATCAACCCGTTGACGTTGGCTAATGGTACTTCCCAAATAATAAGTGAAGCGGTCAACGTGCTCCACCAACCACTTCACTCCTTATTTCTAAACTAGGAGTCAGTGTAGTCCAGTCGTGCACTATCATCTTACATTTGACGGGAGTGAATCGCATGCCAAACATTCGTAGATCGTTAACTGTACAACCTGATGAGATTGTACAGTTAACGATCCTTAGTAGTTAAAGAATTATTGTTATTGACAAGACTAATGCTGTTTAAACAGTATCGCCCCTAAGAAAGACGTGTACATCAAGTTACCTACCCTATATGGGGCATCATAGCAGCTTGATAACTAGAGAAGGATTGAACGCTGTTGTTAAAAAAAACTTTTTATACAGTTAATATCATAATAATTGAGAATGTGAAGCCAATATATCCATTCATCTAAGTGCTTAGAACATGCGGAAAATGATGTCACATCCTCCACTGGATTTACCAATTTGAATGTACGTATGCACACACACACATATATAGGAAGGACTTCATCGATCTCTGCTTCAGAGCATATTCCTAAATGGCTCCAAAGATAGATGGAATCTTCAGGACCCATTAATGGTGAGAAGAGACAGCCTAGCTCCTCTATTGCGGAACATATTATACAAACAGGACATCAAATTGACGTTAACAGATCTTTTAAACTTATCTATAGAACGTGTTTGGAGTGTATCCTAAAGTTTGTGGAAGCCTTAGCTGGCAATTAGAAAGTTTAAACCACCTTTATGTGTTCCTCAAAAAACAATTCGTCATCACATTAAACCTTCCTTGGTAAATTTTGTTTTGATACCGTAGCAGAAGTACTATCACCTCTGCTATTTGGTTTAGTAGTCTTCATTGTTATTTTGACTTTGAATGTGTCCTTTTAAAATGACCTAAGTAGTCTATTTTCACACCTCTTAACTCTTTATTAATTTTATATAAACACATTCTTATGACAAGTGTGTGTGTGTGTGTATTGGATCAGATTGTTCAAAATGTGTTTCACAAATGCACATTATACGATTCAGACAAATTACATCACCTTATTGCTTTATCTAAATTCATATATGGGAACTAATTGTTTTCAAAGTATCGACAATGTTACATTTAGTTAGAACTATTCAAATGACTTCTTCCTATATGAAATCAATGGGATTTTTGTTTGAATGCTTTGAGGATTGCATCATGAACTGATATCAGTTAGAGAAACATTGGAAAATCAACTGGGAGTACTCGACAGCTGTTTCGTCCCCACCAGTTTGGGACTCTTCATCGGTAGACACCCACCGCCAGACTTCAAACCCAGCACCTTCTGGTTACAAGGCTAGAGAGCTCGTAGACCATTCATCATCCCCAGTGGGAAACGACCCAAAGGCAAATCCATGAATTCTAACTTCTGCCAGTTCACGACATAGTGCGACCACTCAGCAATGATTTCGGTGGGTATTTGGCTTCACACCCGACCTACTGTACCCTTCTGGTGACGGCTTCGCCTGAATGAATACGGCTAGGTCGCTAGTGAACATAAGATCAAATTTCAAGTATTGGTGTAAAGTGGACTTTTACTCAGGCTTGAAGAGTTTTAATGAAGCTAAACAGTATGCTCATAAACAGAGTAACTATAATTTAGATGTTACTAATGTTTTATATGATAAAATTGTTCCTTATATAGGAGAAAGGTGCCAAATACTTCCGATATGCCTTCTCTGATTAGACATCTGCTTTTGACTCTATACCCAGAGGTCTTTTGTAAAATAAACTTTCCTTGATACAAACTGAGTCCTTTGTCTATTAACTGGTTGCTTTCTTATTTCTCCGGATGAATGAAGTATACTGTAGTATATAAAGGCGAATCTTATTATGCATTGCTTACTGAAGCCAGTGTCCCTCAAAGTGTTGTACTCTCTCTCCTCCTATTTTTCTCATTCTTCTTACTTGACATTTGCCTCTTTCAAAAGGGGTTAACTTCGTTATATATGATGATGATCTGACTGCCTCGTTGAGTGTAGTCAATCCCAGATGTGACTATTCCAAACTGAAAATACCTTCTTGTCAGACATAGGGCCAGTGGTTCAAGTCAAACGGCCTCATGTTAAATCCCTCCAAATGTCAGACAGTTAACTTCACCTCCAGTCATAAACATGATCTACATGAACTGGTTCATTTCACAAGCCCTAAATACACACACCTTGGAATAGTTCTTTTCACTGAACTTTCTTGATCAATCCACATCTTGTCGGTTTCTACGAAAATGTTTCAGCTAACTATCTACATTAAGTAGTTAAGACAATCAGGTAAGTATCATTCAACCTCTACTTTTACATTTCGGTAACTCTTCCATCTTACCTATTATACCTTACCCATTCCACTTGGTCTTTACTGGGCTACCTAAAAATGACTGTGTCATATTACAAAGGGTATTAAAGTTTGTCAGTAAGGTAGGCGAGTTGTGTGCCACTAAGTCAGTCAGCTTGTTACTATTGCAGTCAACAGACACACCTGAACTCATTTGTAAAAATGGGACTATAGCCATATTGTCTGACGCTCACAATACCCTCTTTTATTCACCCAACTCTCTCCCCTTCCTTACACCTTATCATGTAGAGAGAGAACTAGAAGCTATTAGAATAAAAGATTATATGCTCGCTCACACACAACTGAGTACAAAAACTCAACGATACCCTATTTGGCTAGCCCGCATTCTATGTAATAGAGATTGTGTTAAGCGTGAAAACTATAAATTACTATGTAATTAGGTAAATAGCTGGCTCTTGGATGTTCTCCTGTTTGTAATCTGTGGTGGCACTGTCAATTTTGCTTACATATACCAGGTGTTGTTTTGTTCTTTTGTTGATGTTGCTGAGAAAATTAAACGCAATATTCTACCGAAGGCTAACAAATCCACGCTGTATTATAAGTAGTACTGATTTGGAATAAAGCAAATTATTATTATCAATTATTACCGAATCTTTGACAGGGAAATTCCGAGAGGCATATACATCGAATGAGATGGTTAGTACATGTGTTACGTATGCCTAGTCATCGCATTCCTCCACCGACAGGCGATGTTAGCTGACATAGGGTCAGGCTGGAAAAGAGCTACACAGCGGCGGTCAAACCAAAACATGGCTTCACCAGTCAATGAAATCCACAACAGTTAGTTTAAGCCGGCCACGTAGGAAGGTGCAGACTTCCTAACTGGTTGGGATCCTCGGGACGGTAAACACCAATGGTGACTGGAGACAATTGGTGATATGGCTCAAAATCGTTCTCAGTGGCTGGCTGGCGAAGATGAATCTACTCCTTGTGACTTAGGATTTCCAATTAAACTATATTCTTCTTCGTTATTACTATTCCTTTGTCTCACACCTCTGTTTACTGTCTCTATTATGCCTTCCTTCTCTTACTTTATGTGCTACAAGGAGTGGAGTGTGGGGACTTGAACTGCCGCACATATGTGCAAGGTTCTATGTCGAAAACAGACAGACAGAGAGGCATATATGCCAATAGATGGTCGGGGCAATACACACAATTTAATATTTTTGTTAGTGCGTCAGTGGCACATTGGTAGAATACTCACCAACAACGCATATGGTCTGGGGTTCGATCCACGGCCATAGACGCACTCCTTTACTTCGTTAAGCCAATAATAAGACTGCTAAAGAGGGAAGGCTGGGCATGAGGCTAACAACTCCATCCTGTAAAAATAAATACCACTGCTATTGAAACGTCAAGTCTCTAGACCAAAACAGACACACAGTTCTGTGCTAATAATTAATTTCTACTTTAAATTTCGGCTCACACTGAACAGTAAAATAAGTTTATCTCACTTCATATGAAAAAAGGTAAAAATTTATCAAATGTTAGTTCGTTCATGTGCGCCAACATTGAAATTCAAGGTCAACAATCCGTTATATACCATGATATACTATTTATTTCACACTCAGTATCCATTGTTTCAAAACCCAAAGTATTATCTATCAACTAAAAGAAATTGTGACCAGTGCCATGCACCCGGTCGGGTTAAGATGAGGACAAATACTTAACTACGGATGACGCTGATGGCTGGAACTTTGACTGGACACTCTAGTCAGTTACTATACACATTACACTGGTTACTAACTAGTATCCAATCACAGTATCCAATAAAGTCCTGCAGTAGGTGAATCACAAGTCTAAATAGCTCAGTGGTAACGTCTCTGACTGACTGCAGCACTGGGTGACACAGGTTCGAATCTCAGACAAGAGACATGAGCTCTCTTAAAGGTTGCAAATATTCCTAGCTGACGAGTGCCAACTAGCACGAAACCTGGGTTAGGTGGAGCTTCCTGATGATTGCCTTTAGTCATCTAATATCAGATAATGACTGGTACCAGTTGCGCTAAACATCACGAATTGGTAGAAGTTGGTATTCATGGACAATTGAGTTAAATCTAAATGGCTGAATGGTCTATGAGCTTGACTTGTAACCAGTAATTCTTGGGTTCGAACCCCTGTGATGTGTGCGTGCTACCGACGATTCTCTAACTAACTAGGACGAGAAAGCGATCAAGTACTCCCTGATAGGCTTTCCAATGGTTCTCTAATGATAAAATCCTGTAACCTATCTTGTAGTTAGAAGTTAGAATTCATGGGGTGGTCATTGGATCGGATCCGAGTGGCTGAATGGTATACCAGCTTGCCTCATAACCGGATGGTCCTGGGTTCGAACCCCGATAGGTGGGTGCGTACTGCCGATGATTCCCAAAACTGGTTGGATGAAACAGCTGTCCAGTACTCCCTGGTTCTCAATGGTTCTCTAACTAATATCAATTCGTAATGAATTCGTAAAAACAAATCTAATCCTTACAAACCAACTATTGAAAACTATATTTGTGACAACTCACCACCTTTGTCACTACCCTCTTTTATGAAAAGAAAATTGCACATAAATGTGATTGTAAAGTTAAAGGAGAAAATAAATTTGCCGAGGAGGGGCTCTTCGCTGAAGTAATTTAGTTTAGTTCCTTCTAAGAATCCCTAGATGGGAATTATTCCTGAATGTATAGTAATACTTTGATTTCTTTTAAAACTGTTCTTATCAATTTGACAATCGGATAGTATCACTGTGATTTACACAATATACTGATTACGGCCTTTTGCACCAACTTGTATGTCTCTGGTTAATAGATACACAGTAGAATAGAACTTTAAAAGACTACGACCCAAATTACTTGATCCTCAACCTTAATTTCATCCATTCTATACACATTCAAAGACAGATCATCATGCTGAAACAAAATAAAACTCATTAGCGACTGGCCTACGGGTGGAAGTTGACTGGAGCTCTATTAACAAGTCGTGACCAGGGGAGTCTGCCAGATCGGGTTAGGGTGAGGACTATACTCATCGCGCTAAACTATCACGAATTGGCAGGAGTTAGAATTCATGGGTTGGCCAGTGAATCGAGTCGATCCCAGTGACTGAATGGTCTATGAGTCTCCCTTGTTACCTGAAGGGGTCCTGGGGTAAGAGCCCAGGTGGAAAATAAGACTGTTTCTTAATCAATCCAGTGTCCTTGATGTTTTGAATACTAAATTTGACAAAAAAGCACTAACTTTCTTTCGTAAAGAAAAATTTGGTGTCACAGTTTAAAATAATAAACTTACCGGATCATGTGATACTGCTATGCCAACTGAGATGATAGGAGATTCCATTTCAAATATTTTAATCCAATTACGTACTTTATCCCCTGAGTCAAGAGGTTCCTCAGCAAATTCGGGCTTCAAAGAAAATTTTTTAAAAATTGGGAAGAGTAAAATAAGTTCATAATATTAATGTTTGTTTTTTGCGTACTGAGTGGAACATAGTTGGGGGGGGGGTTACGACAGAACATCTGCACTACGAACAGTTCTTTTCCAAAGGCTTTTGCGGGCACCCAAGGCCCTCCTGACCATCATACACCTTTATCCTCGTCACCCTGATCATCCTGTTGTCATCCTACTGTCAGTACTATTCTGCGGGTTAGCCAATCGTCTTCATTATATTCTGTGACCATAAATAGTAATAAGAGCCAGAAAAACACTCCCGATAGTCTCGTAAAACAATGCTGCCATTTTCATATCGGTGTATTTAACGGCAGGCCCCTCAGCCAACAGGCATCACGAGCTATGTGTTTCGGAGACACGCATACAAGACCCGAGAGTGTGGTTATTCACTTAACCCCACCTGATCAACAAGGTGAATCTGCAAAATTCCCCTTACGAGGACTCGCAGATGCAGGGATAGCAGTGAGCGTCAGGACAGAAAAATCCCTTCTCGACTGGGTCCCAGTAGATAGTCGTATGTGTGCAGCCCGTCTGAACAGGTCCGTTAGAAAAGGGAAAGACTGCAGCATAATCCATCGATGTTTTTCATAGTTTCCGCTTACATCCCAACCGACAGTCGGTTCTCTGCAATTGCAGGCTCCACTCTTGGTTTCAGCTTTGCAATCATAATTTCCCCGAAGCCCAGGGACTTAAAGATTTCCCGGAGACTGCCAGCAGTGTCAACTACAGAATCATCGCCGGTCGTCAACTGGCATAGTTTATGGTCACTGATTATCTTCGATACTCTGACTTTCGCTTCTGATCAATGAAAATATTCTTGACAAGCGCTTTCGCTGTAGTTTCTCCAGCGATGATCCCAGAATTTCACCCCTAACACCATCATACAAGTGCCTCCCCTGTATTCCTCTTCACCATTACTTTGGATCAAGAATCCCAACAAAAAACAGACCGAAGTTCTATTTCTTTATTCCATGAAAGAATTTATTGGCGCGACAGCCTGCCCTAAAAACTCAAAATTATTCAAAATAAAGATATCATCCCGAACATGACACCCTGTTAAGGGCATCCGGAAGGATGCCAACAAATAGCAGGCAAGAAAAGCTCACCCATCTCCGTTAGCGCTCAGGTTTTGATTACAGATTGATTCCACACTGTATTTTTGGTACAAGTATGGAATTTTCAGCATGGATATCGGTAGCCCGAATTTTGCAGGTCGACCATAGATATCAGGTGTGCGTCGGCAGGGGGTCGGACTCCGGACCATGTGCATAATCGGCGAGAGTCATAACCGCTGTGCCACCGACACACATACAGATACAGGGCTGAAAGGCTGCACAACCACAACTACGCCGAGCTCAATACAATTTCTGATTGTAACCAAAACCACAAACAAACAACAGTATGCAACTGCACAACCAAGGTTCAACACTACAAGCTTTTAAACTGCACCAGCCTTAATATACACTTTTGGAGCTGCAATCCCTTTCAACTTGCTTCATAAAATCTTTATCAGACTCGGACTCGGAAACCATAGCTCACATTCTGATACTACTCGACGGCTTGTAGTAGGCTCCTCAGGGTATTTCCCATCAGTTTCCATTCTATTCTAGGTATTTCTCGCGGAGTAGGTTCTTGGTTCGTTCACTACCTCCCGGATCTCCTGGTCATGAATCTTCAGTATTTAGCGAAGGAGGCTGTTGATGGAAGTTTGCTGTCAACAGTTGTTAATACTTTATGGTGACGTGAGAGCCGAGTCATAGAACCTAAGGACGCGATGACTTGACATTAGTGTTGAGAATCCGGACCTTGTTAGCCATGTTGAACAACTCTAGGGATCTCCACAACGATTTCATAGTAATGAACACCTATTTTGCTTACCTGATCCGATCCTAGCTAGAGCTTTGACATTGTCATTCGTGCCGCTTGTAGCGGAAAAGGGCCAGCACGTGGTGGTCAAACCAAAACATGGCTTCATCAGTCATTGAAGTCCGTAATAGCTAGTTTAAGCGAGTCACGTATGGAGAAGCAGACTTCCTGGTTGAGGTCCTTGAAATGGTCAGAACCAATGAAGTCTGGAGACAATAGCCGATATGGCTCAAAATCGTTGTCAATGGCTGGCGAAGATGCATACACTCTTTGTGATTCAACACATCCAATAAAAATCTACTATTCTTCCATATTACCACTATTCGTTTTCCCTCACTCACACTTCTGTTTGTTATCTCTCTTTTGAAACTCTCTTTACTCTCTTATCTTTCTTTGTGTGCTACATGGAGAGTGTGGCAACTGGAACTGCTGCGCATCTGTGCAAAGTTCTACGCCAGTTAGTCAACCGCTTGAGTTTCAAACGAGAATGAGTCGAATACCTTTAGATCTTTCTCTCAGTGATGACGATGACTGGTATTTTTTGTTGGTCGGATATCCTCATCACTTCCGTCTTCTGTAAGTCTCCGGAGTTTGTGTAATATGAGGCACTAAACATCCGCGCGAAGTCTACATCATCCAGGGTCTTTTTGTCAGTCCATCGTTAGGCTTTCTTCTCACTCCCTACGACCTGTTGCATGACCTGGTCTACTACTACCGGGAAGATCGTCGGTGATAGTTCACAGCTTTACCTTTATCATGTCTTTACTTCAAGAGCTTCCAGTGACCTATTTCGTTGTGAATTACTCAACATGTGGCCCCATTCATCATACAGCTGTTGAATGAGGTTTATAAATCTTTCCGACGCTACAGTCTATATTGTTGAGGCAGTCCCCAAGTTAATACTTCTCGATTGACACTGTCATAGGCATTTCCAAAGTCAAGCCTCCATACCGATCTCTGTTAGCTATTCGTGGGACAGGATGGAAAAAGTGTAGAGGTGACCAGCCCATGACGTGGTGTCCAAGGGATAAAGGATATTTGTGGTAGGTTGGCGCATTGATTGGTGCGTCACAACTCCCTGGTTGAAGTCCAAGAGATAACTCGAATCACTGGCTAGAAACGTTATCGTCTGATGATATAGCCAAGAATCGCAATCATTAATAGCGAACGTGCTGCAATTGCCTTCTTTCTGCCCTTTTAGGAAATAACTGATAAATTTTGTTTGGTCTTGTTAAATATAATTGCTTCCCTCGCAAATGAATACCTCTATTGATTTTCTACCTATTTTTTCTTTTTCATATGTTGTTTTATCATTATTATTGTTATTGTGTGGCGAATCTTTTTAGTGTGTCTATATTGTTCCAGGTTTTGTGTTTTCAATAAACGAAAATGTTCTTTCAAGTATTGATTTTTGTAGGGATTTTATTTGATTGGTTGGTCTACGAGCTCGCTAGCCTTGTAACCAGAAGGTCCTGGTTCCGAACCCCTGTAGTGGGTGCGTACCGATGAAGAGTCCCAAACTAGAGGGATGAAACAGCTGTCCAGTACTCCCTGATAGGTTTCCCATTGGTACTATTAACTGATGTCAGCTAATGATGAAATGTGCGTCGGTGGCACAGTGGTGGTTAGTACTCTCGCCGACTATGCCCATGGTCCGAGGTTCAACCCTCTGCCACTGACGCACACCTGATATCTATGGTCGGCCGATATCCATGCTGAAAACTCCATACTTATACCAAAAAAACAGTGTGGAATCAAGCTGTAATCAAAAAAAAATCCTCCAACCGGTTAATCAAACAAAATCCCTACAAAACAACCAATACTTGAAAATTGATCTAGTGCTCACCAGCGCGACTGGCCCTATTCAGGTAGGCAGTTTACCTGTCGTTCTAGTGGGAAGCTGTGACCAGTAAGGTACAGCAGGTTAAAGATGAGGCAGTAACTCATAGAAGAAGACATTGCGAATTGGTCACGCTATGTCATGAATTGACAGAAGTTAGAATTCATGGGCTGGCCCTTTGGATCGGGTCCCAGTGGCTGATTGTAACTTGTTACCAGAAGGTCCTGGGTTCGAACCCCTGTGGTGGGTGCGTACTGATGAAGTAGATTCACAAACTAGGGGGATGAAATAGCTGTCCAGTACTCTAAATGATGTCAGCTCATGACGAAATTCTCCAACCAAATAAATATATATATATATATATATATATATATATATATATATATATATGTAAATGTCGAAAAAGAGGGTTTAAAATACTACACTTACAAGGACATGATAAAATGATTTGCCTTTCTCTTGTACTATAACTCCACCCAAACCAACAGGATTCTTTGCATTACTAAATTTAGCATGTAAGGCTTCACGAATCATTGCATCGAATTTCCCTTCTTTAAGTCGATTAGAAACAATCAGTTCAATGACCTGTATGTGTGTGTGTATGTATGGTAAATAATAGAAAATACAAAACATTCACAGAGAGAAATAAATAATGATGATAATAATGACGATAAAATAGATTATTATGTAACGGGATAATGATTATGATGACCAAAAGTGGAACGGGAACTAAGGTTGGCAGAGATATTGGGAGCCACCAAGTTTTCGGAGGAGATAGCCACCAAAATATTCAAACGATGATACACTACTGACTTTCTACGCCTTTTGATAGGACCTGAGTGTAGAGTGAACAGTTCAACGAGTGTGTGTATTGTGATTCGTAATACGCTGAGGTTGAAATAGGAACACCAGGTTAGTGATGGAGGGCGCTGATCAAGAATACCGCTTCACTATGCCGCTGCCAACAACAACAACAACACTATACGACAAGCTTACCAATCATTCTTCAGTCTGCACTACGTAAAAACAAGAACACACAACCAAAAAGTATGCCTTACCCAATAATTCATGAATCAAAATACCATCAAGGATATGTCAGTCAATCAGCCTGTATTCAAGATCAATCATCTATTATCACCAAAATCAATGTGCACCGTGATAGGCAGCCTCCTAGAATGGTGGCCACATTACAAACCTGACTGATAGAATTCAGTTTGCACCAATGAGAGGACCAGACACATCAAACTAGTTATTAGTGTCCAATCAAAAATACTGGTGTAACAACAGAAGACAAGGGCCAGGCAACAGATCGTTTTATTATGAAAATCAACACGTATTTATACATATTTCACATACATTATTATAGCTTATGCAAGTAGACAAGCGCAGTTATCTGATTGGTTGTTTATCAGAAGTTAGGCAGACAAACGCAGGCTTCTGATTGGTTGTTTCGGGATTCCTCGACAAATAGAGTTCTCTATCTGCGAATCATATTTTGCCACGTTAACTTTGCTGTGATTGGTTGTTGAATCAGCCTTGGTCATATTTTCTCACGGCCTGCTCTCACCACACTGGAAGTTATTTTACGGAGGCTCACTCTGATTGGTTTATTTCCAGACAGGATATCGATCACCTACGTTGGCCAATTCTGATTGGTTTGTTTCCAGACTAAAGATCAACCACTATATTAGTGTGCAATAGAGGAGATGTACAATATTGGAATAATGGTGAGGGTGGGTGTTTTTAGTGACTAAGGTTGTATTTCCTCAGCTAGCTGATTAAAAAATTGCAAAACACTTTCATCGTTCTTCTAAACTACACCCTCCTTTCAGGGCTTATTTCCAAGTGAAGTGAGATATTATTTGAAAGTTCTTCAATAAATGAAGGACCTTGACTGTGATTGGCTGTCTCCGAAGGCTCATATTATTCTAGTGTTAATTTATACTGCTGCCGACTGTTTGATTCACCTGGAATTCGATCTTTCTGCCACTTTTGCTATGTATTATTGTAATATTATTGTTCTCTTGGCCTCCCAGTGAAACATAAGGCTTCAGCAGAACATTACCACTTTGTCCTATTCTCTGCGATTTTCTTTATCTGGCCTCACGATTCCCCATAGTCTCTTATCTCCCCCATGTCAGCCTTGGACGCCCCACTCCCCTCCTCGACTTCGTATCCAGTAGACTGTCTCCAATTTCTTCGGCAGCATTGACAGCAAGTCTATTCGGTTTCTGGTGTGTCCATCAGGTGAGACGCATTTCGTCTTGTGCTTGTACCTGCTGTCTCCAATTACCAAATCATTGAATGCACAAAAGTGTGCGAAGTGTTCTCCGTTGTCATTCATTACTTCACCAAAAGCCTATTGACCCATGATGATAAGTTCTTTTCGCGTACTGTCTGCTCCCAGTTCGGTTGGCATTCATATCGCTCCCATAACAGATTTTGATGTCTCTATTTGGGATGTTGTTCATTACTGTTTGCACCTGCCGATAGAAATCTTCCTTCCTCTGAGGTATCTGTAGGCGTGTAGCATTGGATAACTGTAACTTTCCTTCCTTTTTTTCGAGTTGAATCTTTCTGGCACTAGCCTCTAAGGAGGAAACTGTTCTCCGCTGAATAAGATCTTTGGCTGCTGTTGGTGATATTATGATTACCACTCTCTCAGTGGTCTCATGGTCAACAATTTAGATAATCCTAATCCATTCCACTTGGTTTCACAGATTACTAGCACTACAATACCATATCTTTTCATTTCTTTGGCAACATGAGCCCCCTATCCAGCCTCGTACATTCTCCAGGCATCCCCACGTCTCCATCATCTGACTGTCTCCCCGAAGGCTTTCACTGTCTGTCTGTCTGGATTCAACATAGAACTTGGCACCGAAGTGCACCAGTTCGAGTTGCCACGTTCCAAATACCACACAGAGGTAGACAAGAAGATGAGTGAAGAGAATCAATAGAGTTTGACAAGTATAAGAGTGAAACAGAATGGGTAATGGTAGAAAGGAATATGAAAGATTACAGAGACTGAATACATCTGCTCTGGCCATTGACAACGATTCTGAGCCATGTCACCTATTGTCTCCAGCCATTGATTCCTAGAGTCCCGAGGGCCCCAACCCGGGAGTCTGCATCTCCCTCCCTACCTGACTCAGTTTAACTGTCAAGGATTTCATGGATTGATGCCATGTTTTTGTTTGGCCACCACTGGCTCTTTTCCAACCTGAACCTATATCAGCTAGCAATGCCCGTCAGGGGAGGCGGTGGTTAGGCATGCGCACCACGTGACCTAGCCATCTTAGTCTATGTAACTTTATAGCCTCGTCGATTGATTTTCCCTCTTTGCCCAACACTCTACGCCGAACGTCAACATTACTTACCTTGTGAAACCACCTAACGTGAGAAAGAGATCGCAGACATCTATGATCGAAAGCAGTCAACCTTTTCATGTCTTCAACGCGTATTGGCCATGTTTCAGAGCCATAGACAAGGACGGAGCGAACTGATGAGCAGTACACACGTCCCTTGGTTGATAACCGGATGTCACGCCTACGCCAGAGATGGTGTAAGTCAGAGAAAGCAGCTCGAGCTTTTCGGATCCGTGCTGAGATTTCATCGCCAATCAGTCCGTTGGTGCTAATACAACTTCCCAAATAGGTGAAGTGGTCAACATGTTCTATCACTTCACTCCCTATCACTAAGTTAGGAGTTGACGTGGTCCAGTCCTGTAGCAGCATCTTACAAGGCTTTCACTAGCCCGTGTCATTTCGTCTCTCCGACTCTAGCGAAGGATAAGTTTGTTTTTACTGTATTGCAAAAAACAACACTACAACACGCGAGCAATATTACATATATATATATATATATGTATATATATATATATATATATATATATATATATATATATGTTATATGTAAGGACGTTACCACATAAGGTTTTCATTTTCTGAAACCATTTTAAGCACTCCTGTTTGAGAGCAGGAAGAGGATAGGTAAAAACGAATTATATTGTTACTAACTATAATTGTTGTTTAAAACGCACTCACTCGGTAGATTATGGATACCAAGAAGTGCACTAAATCCCGCCTACCCTAAGCTTTTGACATGAAGTCTTCTCCACAAAGCAGTAGAGTAGCATCACGGGCTGCGTTCACATGACTAATGGTGACCAGAAGAGGTTCATATGCCATTCGATCCGTTCAAATCCTGAAGCCCATATACACCATTGGGGTTTGGAGTCAGGATTTCCCAGCTCCCCACTAGACAGACCACCTGAATATCTACCAGTTCGGTTGGAGGCGCCAGATGTTGAAAAAAATCCACTAAACACCCCCGTGGGATAAAAGTTCACAACTAAGCCTGGGCATTTGACTTTCAATTTAAACACCACTCCGTCAAATTTGACCTGAACAATGAGGTTGGCATCATCGGTACTCACATATTAACTGTAGCGTATAAACTACTGCATAATGAAGTATACACTAGGTAACTACAACAGATCATTTCAACAGTCAAACAGACTTAAATTTATAAACACAGATGGGGTATATTATGACTGGAGACTAGACAGTAACTAGTGTCATACGCCTAGTTCTTTGTTTGGTGAAGTATGCAAAGTGGGCACCATATGCCAGGTGGCTTACCATTATGGGGCACTCTGAACTCTTGTTATTAGATGATTGGAGGCAATAAATCAGGAGGAAGCCCAGTCTGGCCTAAGTTTTGTGCTTAATGTCACTCACCCGTCGGCTAGACGTGTATCTGCAATTACTCATGTCCCCTGCCTGAGATTCGAACCGGTGTGTTGGCCAGCGCTGCCTGCAGTGAGAGACATGTTACAACTGGGAGCTATTCGAGCTCGCGATCGACGTCCTATGTGACACTGCATCTTTTAATATTTTTCGTGTGCATTGAAGTTTCTGTAGCAGTTTGAGTGGTTTTCCGGGACAAAGTCGCTAGCCCCACGCCTAATCCCCCTCCTCCTCTTTTCCTGGGATTGGGACCGACAAGAAAAGTAGCGAGCTGGTAAACTAGGAGATGCTTCCTAGATAAGTAAAAGAGGTTACTTCACTCACTTATTTAGGAAGCATCGCTTCATCATCATCCACAGCCAGTCGGAAAGGATGAAGATATCAAAGCCAGAATCAATTTGGAAATCTCCTGCACACAGCATAAACAACAAGATTTAAATTTTCAATACAAATGCTAAGTCAATCACTTCTTCAATATGGGTGAGAAATTTGGCGTGCGTATGTGCCAAGAAAAGCGTTTCTAACAGGCCCGCTGAAGTCTTTTACCAACAACTGCCTCCTCTAACTCCCTGGTGAAGATCAGATTGACGGTCGGCCAGAAAGAACTACACCAACCAGCGAGAAACTATGAGAACAAACTAACTAAGAAGCCATTTCTCAACAAATATATCAGATGGGTCAGACATACACGCTGAGGAAATCATCCAACGACATCGTGCTTGCTCCATGCCATCACTCGAGTGGTAAACGATGAGTTAGACGCAGGTCCAAGGGTGACAGGCAGGGGGTTGTATGGCAAGGAGAGGATGAGAGATTATGGGCAATATTGGGACCAGTTAAAGAGGACAACAGAAAATAGAATAGAGTGGAGTTGTGTTGTTGAAGGCCTCTATTTTGTTCCACTCATAACCCAAGGGAACAATAATTGGTAACAATAATAATATGAGGAGTGTGCTGAATGCTTTGAGTAGACACTAGAAAGTTAATAAGTAACCAGTATCAGGTGTTTAATCCTTTGTTTGATAAAGGACAAGTTATACAGTTTACAGAAAGAGATGCATTAAGACAACATTCTACTGATAAGTAAACAATGACTACGAGCTCGTCTTGTAAGCAGAAGGTAGTGGATTCGAACCGCGTGGTGTGGGTGCGTACTGATGAAGACTCCCAAACTAGGAGGAGACAGCTGTCCGGTACTCCCTGGCAGGTTTTCCAATGCTTCTCTAACCAATGTCAGCTCATGATGAAATCCTGTAACCAATCAACCAAATCCGTACAAACCAATACTTGAATATCAATGAGATGCTCACTGGCGACTGGCCCTATTCAGGTAGGTTCCAGTGGATAGGCGTGACCAGTAGGGTGCAGCAGGTCGGGTGTGAGGACAAATACTCGCCGCCGAAGACATTGGCTAGCGCCTGCGCTATATCGTGAATTGGCAGAAGTTGGAATTCACGGGCTGGCCATTGATTGGATCGGGTCCCAGTGGCCTAATGGTCTACGAGCTCTCCTGGGTTCTAACCCCTGTGGTGGGTGCGTACTGCTGAAGAGTCTCAAACCAGCAAGAAACAGAGGGCTGTCCAGTACTCCCCGTTGGTTTTGCAATGCTTCTCTAACCAATGTCAGCTCATGATGAAATCCTGTAACCAATGACTAATAAAGTTAAAAAGACGTAAACCTTTTTGTTTTGTTATTTCACTTACCGGTCCAGGTTTTCCTTCGCATAGAAACATTTGGCCTAGTAAAGCGAATTTACTGTTATCAGCTTTAGTCAACAGAGGTTTATTATTCTAAAATAAGAGGAATAAAAAGAAACACACAATCGAATATAAAAAATATATACGTATATATGTACCCAGATATCTTTTTTGTTAAGTAAGCTTTCTTTGACACAAGCCGAATCGTGAGCTGGCTGGTAACTGCTTCCCTAACGAGTTGGTCGCTGATGAAATCTCAGCCAAAGCATACAGAAGGTTCATTTGACATTTATCTGCCAACCTACGTCATCTCTGGTTTAGACGTGATATCCGACTATTGACCGAAAGGGTGTGTGTATTGCTCAGCGGTTCACCCCATCCTCCTTTATGGCTATGAGATCTGGCCATAGAAAGTGGAAGACATGAAAAGGGCTAGCTAGCTGTCTTTGATCATAAATGTCTGCGTTCTATCTCTCCTATATGTTAAGTGGTATGATAAGGTGAGGAATATTGAGGTTAGGCATCGGTCGAGTGCTAGGTAAGGAGGGGAAATCAATCGACGAGACTGTGAAGCCACATCGACTGAGATGGTTGGGACATGTGTTACGTATACCTAGCCATCGCCTTCCTCGACCGACGGGCAATGTTAGCTGATATAGGATCGGCGAGGTTGGAAAAGAGCTAGTGGTGGTCAAACCAAAACATGTCACCAGTCAATGAAACCCACAACAGTTAATTTAAGCCCATCATGTAGGAAGGTGTAGACCTCCTTGTTGAGGTCCTCGGAACGGTAAAAACCAATGGCTGGAAACAATTTGTGATATGGCTCAAAATCGTTCTCAGTGGCTGGCTGGTGCAGATGCATCCACAACTTGTGACTTATGATTTCCAATGAAACTGTTTTGTTCTTCGTTACTATTCCTTTGTCTCACAATTCTGTTTACTGTCTCTATTATGCATTTCTTCCACTTTGTTCTCTTGCTTTGTGTGCTACAAGGAGGGAGTGTGGCAACTCAAACTGCTGCACATCTGTGCAAAGTTCTGTGCTGAAACCAATCAGTCAGTGTTAACTGACTTCTCCGGAAGAATGCAGTATACAGTAAATAAAGCTAAGTCTTCCTCTGCCTTGCTTACTGAAACCGGTATCCCTCAAAGTGTTGTCCTCTCTCTCTCTTTCATCCTCTTTTTTTCTTTATTCTTACATAACACCTACCTCTTTCCGAAGAAGTAAATTTCGTTTCATACGCTGATGATTTGACAGATATCGATCTAACTGCTCCAAACTGCACAGCTTTTAAACACGTCAGATACCCCATACCATTCAATTGCGAAATGATTAGCTGATATTTTTAGAAACTGTAAGAAAACAGATATGCCAACATTCACCTCATGACACCTTTCAATTCATCGACTGTACATACAAGATATCAACGTTGATATTAGATGGTTGGAGGCAATCGGCCACAGGAAGCTCCTCCTGACCTAGGTTTCATGATAGTTGGCACTCACCAGTCAATCAGCAAGGCATATCTGCAATCACCTTAGAGGAACTCATGTCCCCTCTGAGATTCAAACCCGCATCACCCAGTGCTGCATGCAGTCAGAGAAGTTACCACTGAGCAGCTATTCGGGCTGACGATTGATCTCCTGTAGGACTGTATTGGATACTTTCATTGGACAATAGTAACTAGTGTGACGTGTCGAATCCTTTCTTTGGTGCAGACTGAATTCTATCAGTCAGGTTTGCAATGTGGCCACCATTCAACTTATCCGAAAAAAATAGGCTCTCTCCCTTTTGACAATGAATTACTATTTACCAACGTTCCACTCATTCAACTGTCTGTCAATATATAAACGAAAACCAGTTGCGCATCAGATTGCCAACAGCCTGTTTAAAGGAGCTACTACTGAGATGCACTCATATGTGCCATTCAGGTTCAACAAACAAAAAGATGGGATTGTAGTGGAATCTCCTCTGGGTCGATTGCTAGTGGACTGTTTCAAGGCAAGCTTCAAGAATGGTCCAATTAAATCAACCATTGATGCTTTAGAAGAAAATCAAGCTAAAAAATTCGAAGACAAGAGACATCATCCATGCCAAAGAGAGAAACTTTACACGAACCTCGACTGCAAAGGTGACCTACTCAGTGATGTCCTTCAGAGAAGAATTTTGGCTCCTTTAAGAAAACCTTTCTTCGTAGCAACGCTGAGAGGCGTGTTCTGCAGTCGCCTATTGATCTGCAGAAACCAAAGGACAAATACCCATCATCTGACCACTTCTATGTGTATATATTTCGGCTCAACGGTTGGTATGGGGACAAGTACATTGGTCGCTCGGTGCATATCCTGTCCAACAGGCTCGAAGAACACTATCCCACATGGCTGCAGAATGGTAGTAGTGGCTCTGTAAAGAGTGTGATAATCAAACAGATTGTCAACACTGGTCATTCCATTTCAACAAACGAACCCTGCCTCAAAGTAATCTACAAAGCGAAGAATAACGTGTCTCCTATGCATTCGTGTAGCCTTAGCTATTCAGTTGGAAAAACCAGTTATGTATACAAACGAAGATCATTCAACCACTTCTACCATCGTGACAACAACTGTGTTGATTCCTACTGACTTGATGTAAGTGTTACTGCTTCCCTAACTCCTTAAAACTTTTGTAATTCTCTAAAACTCTTACATAATTGCATACTATGTGCACATCCTGATTACAACGTAACTCTAATTCACTTACTCATCTCATCTTATGCATTCATTGACTAATACTAACAACTATACTTGTGACAACTCATCACTTTTGTTACTACCCCTCTTTTATGAAAAGAAGATTGCATATAAATGCGACTGCGCATCTAAAGGGGAAAATAACCTCACCAAAAATAACCTCTTCGCTGAACTACTATATATATATAAACGAGACATGCACTAGAGACAGTGAATGTTAGCTCAACAACCACTTGTATTTCCATGCATTCGGTAATGACCCAAACCCCTTCCTCCTTCAGTGTGATGGTTAATAAGCAAATATGAGCAAACAGAAAGATGTAATATTTTAAAAAGTCACCACTTTATGCCTCTAAATTTAACTCTAAATGTGAATACAATCCAAATCTGAAAGTCCATTGCACCACATTCGAAATCTTGAAGTAAGTTTTTCTGGAAGTAAAATATATCAAAATTTTTGTAGACTAATATTTAATTTGTTCATTTTTATGTAATACTTCGACTCTTACAAAATGCACTACATCTGGCATCAATTCATAATGTCTTTGACAATCGGTTTAAATCAGACACTTACGGAGGTGTAGACCTCTAGGATAGTTAGGGTTCTTGAGATGCTAAGTGTCAATAGCTGAAGACTATTGGTGATATGGCTGGCACAGATGCATTCAATCTTTTTTACCTATTATATCCATCAAACCTTCAAGTTGTTCTGTATTACATTTTTGCTTAGAGTGGTTCATTCTTGGATCTTCTTTTTTTCCTTCTTTCCCCTAACTTTGTGTTAGATTGTGTGGCTAGTCAGTTGAACTGCTAAACTTCTGTGCAAAGCTCTGTGTGGAAACTCAGTCGGTTAATTAGTCACAGTGCCTGAAACAGATAAAAATTACCTCATAAAAGGCTAAAAGTCTACGCGATAGCCAAGTTTTCCGGTGCAATATTTTCTAATTTTGATCTGTATTCTGTCTGTTTTCGACATAGAACTTTGCACAAATGTGCGGAAGTTCAAGTCGCCACATTCCGTGTAGCACGCGAAGCAAGAGAAGAAAGTACAAGAAAAGCATAATAGAAACAGTGAGCAGAGGTGTGAGACAAAGGAGTAATAAAGAAATACAAAAGTTTCATTGGAGATCATAAGTCACAGGGAGTGGATGCATCTGCGCCACTGAGAACGATTTTGAGCCATGTCACCAATCGTTTCCAACCATAGATTTTTACCGTCCGAGGACCCCAACCAGGAAGTCTACACCTTCCTACGTGGCTTAGACCAACTGTTGTGGATTTCATTGACTGATGCCAAGTTTTTGTTTGACCGCCGCTAGCTTTTTTCCAGTCTGACCCTATATCCGCTAACATTGCTCGTCGAGGGAGGCGATGGCTTGGCATACGTAACACATGTCCTAACCATCTCAGTCTTTGTAGCTTCACGACTTCGTCGATTGATTCCCCCTGTTTACCTAGAACTCGACGCCTAACTTCAATGTTGCTCACCTTATTATGCCACTTTACACGGAAATAGAGCGCAGGCACCTATGATCAAAGACAGCTAGTCTTTTCATGTCTTCCACTCTCAGTGGCCAGGTCTCACAACCATACAGGAGGACGGAGCGGACTGATGAGCAGTACACCGCCCTTTGGTCGATAGTCGAACATCTCGTCTACGCCAGAGTCGGCGTAAACTAACAAATGCGAACGAGCCCTTGTATTCGTGCTGAGCTTTGAAATTATCTAAAGCCTATAGGCACAAAGAATTACCGAAAGTTTAAAGCTAAATTTATAGCCTTACAAAGTAATTAAAAGTTTTCCTTTGCTATAATAACCAAAGTTTTCATTGCTTCTTCTGCTTGATTATGTAATCTTTAGATAGAATCCCCGTTTACACTTTATAACCTACGTGAACCAGTTAATCATAAGTGTAAAAATCTACTCAGTTTACCAATGTCTACACAACAGCATAACATTATTAGTCATCACTGTGGTTGGTAGCAGTTACACCAGTTTATATCGTTCGTTTCCATTGAAAGATTAAATGCCACTTTGTCATAAAATGATACTAGTAATGGGTAGGAAGAGATGGTGTCAAAAATACTGTATGACTAAGATGTGCCGTAAGACTTATAAAGGCCAGAAACAGAACTATTCGAAGTCTTATCTCCTACCATAAAACATGCAAACAACAAAAACTACAACTTTTTGACTGACGGAAGGACGGATTGGCTTCACCACAGAAATTTGCACAGAAGTGCAGCATTTCAACTTGGCACATTCCATGAAGCACACATAGGAAGGCAAAAGAGTGGAAAAAGAGATTCAAATGAACAGTGACATGGAAAAACAATAAGGTTTAGTGGATATGGAAAACCAGAAAGATTGAATATATCTGCACCAGCCGTTGAGGACGATTTTCAGCCACATCACCAATTGTGTCCAGCTACTGGTTCTTGATTGACTGACTGACTGACTGGCTAGTTTCAACGAAGAACTTTGCACCGATGTCCAGCAGTTCCAGTCGCCACACTCCATGTAGCACACAAAGCAAGAGACGAAATTTAAAAAATGCAAAACACAGACAGTAAACAAACATGAGGCAAAAAGAATAGTAATATCGAAGAACAATATAGTTTTATTGAGTATTATAAGTCAAAAGGAGTGGATAAATCTGCGCCAGCCATTGAGAACGATTTTGAGCCAAATCACCAATTGTCTCCAGTCACCGTTGGTTTTACCGCCCCAGGGACCCCAACCAGTTAGTCAGGAAGTCTACAATTTCCTACGCGGCTTAAACTAACTGTTGTGGATTCGATTGACTGATGAAGTCATGTTTTGGTTTGACCACCACTAGTTCTTTTCCAACCTCACCGATCCTATATCAGCTAACATTTCCCATCGAGGAAGGTGATGGTTAGGCAAACATAACAAACGTCCTAACCATCTCGACCTCATGAATTGACTTTCCCTCCTTACCTAACACTAGACGCTTAACCTCAATATTACTCAACCTATCGTACCACCTAACATAGGAGAAAGAATAGAAACACCTTTGATCAAAGATAGCTAGTCTTTTCATACCTCCCACTTTCGATGGCCATGTCTTACAGCCATTCGGGAGAAAATGCAGTGAACTGGTGAGCGGTACACACACGTCCTTTGATTAACAACGAGACGGACATCAGGTCTTCACCAGATGTGGTGTAAGTTAGTAGATGTCACACCAGCCTTTTATATACGTGCTGGGAATTTGTCAACGATCAACCCGTTGGGGTTGATGTAACTTCCCAAACAAGACAAGTGGTCAACAAATTCTGCCACTTCACTCCTGCTTATCCTTAAGCTAGGTGTCGATGTAGTCCAGTCCTGTACTGTCATCTTACATTTGACACCAAGAGCGAGTAGCATGCCAAACATTCGAAGACTGCCGCTCAAGGTGTTCAGAAGACTGCATGTTATCAGCGCCTTCACCCTAGAGGATTATATCATCCACATACTCTGATTGTAGACGTGTAGAAATCACGTGAGTACAGGTTTTTAGAAAGTTGAGAAAGAATTCTCCACTACCACCACCATCAAAACAACATAGTACTCACACGGGACAGTAATCAGTAGACAAACAAAATTGATCACGCTCAACCAAGTAAACAATGAACAAATGAAGTGTGGGGAAAAAAAGAGACTAACCGTTTTATCATATGATCCTAATAACGATCCATTATTTGTAACCGTACCATTTGAAGAAGCCATATTGATAACCATCTAAAGAAACACAAAAGAGTTAAGTATAGCAGAGAAGGGGTCTTCGACTAATAACAATTGATCGATACAATAACAACTGCATGCATACTGAGGCACTTGACACTTAGGCAGACTTCGGGAGCACTGCATATACTTTGGAGCCGAGTGCAGATAACTGCCGCACTTTCTGCAATGCACCCTAAGTATTTTGCGCCGAAATATCTGCACTGCTCCCGAAGAAAATGCTAGCTGGGAACAACCCTAAGCGGAAAGTTTGAGCTTGTGAAATAAATAATTAAGTGAACCATCTCACCACAGTCAAATGAGTACAAGTGGACTGTGTCAAGGCACGAATATATACTTATGCCTTTTGCATATATGCAGAAAAATTAAAGCCATTTATTTGAGGGTTGCCTGTTTATATTATTGAGCTACTTAATTTCCCAAAGAGCACAACAAAACGTCAAATTTACTTTCTTTTCACCATCTTACTACATCATCGAAGAACAACTTGTTGGATGGCATTCAGAATAGAGCTACATATCTTTTAAAGAGACAAAACCATCCAGGGGTTGGAGCATATATGCTATGAATTATAATTCAGACCAAATAATATTGCATTAAACGACATACTGTAAGTCAAGACTGGAAAACTTTATCCAGGCAGCCAGTCCTTGTCTTAAAAGGCACTCACACATTCTAGAAAGTGTTCAAATGCAACAAGTATGGTTCTTAGCGTGACTAACTTATCACACGAGGAAAGACTAGAAAGTTTAAATCCCTTCTCCCTATCATACCGTAGGCAGAGAAGAGGTTTAATCACAATGTTTAAAATTTTAAATAATGACTACGGACCTGGCCTATTCTCTCGTTTCCTTCCCACCAGGTCGGAACATTTTAGAGGACATAGCAGGAGAGTTGAAAAGCCAAAAAGATATATTGCTGTTGAGTACTGTTTCTCACACCGAGTCATAAACTCTTAGAACCGACTCCCAGAAGAATTGGTGTCTGCAACCTCAACTGATTCATTCAAGAAGGGTTCGGACAACCACAGAAATTTACTAGAAAAGAATTAACATAAGCTCCAAGCCCTCAACCAATAAATCTGAATCCGATCTGAATTAGTATTTTAAATGGAGATTCTGTACAAGCAGGTGTTTATTCGCTCCACTTTTTCACCTTCCATCTTAGTGTTAACGTACTCTTCGGCCTTAAACCACTAATTCGTAGGGGTACACCGATACAAAAAATGCCTAAAGGCGTCATTTTCACTGAGTTACCAAATATATTATTAACACAATAACACTGCAATGATTATAAACTGAATTACCTCCGAATTTGAGCCAGTCAGGAAGAAAGGTCCAGCAGCAGCACCAATCGCTACTCCAGAATTTACATTAGACAGCTTAAATACATCTAAAAGATCATAATGCTTCACGAGTTAAACTGGAAAGGATACATACTCTATCCTTCTTCGGGACTGGCAACAGATAATCAAAACTCCCTACATCACAAATGGTCCCCTTACCGTTTAGTCCTGGTAAGATAGACAAACAAATTCAAATCAACATGTTTGAAAAGCACCTTTTAATGTCAGATTATAAGGAGAACTCGTGAGGTCCGGACAGTCAACAATTGAACATTGTACATTTTCAAACAGCTTTTCAAACCATCCCTGAGTGCTAAGAGAAGTTCATTAATAATCTACTAACTTACCAAGTGACACATCTTGAAGTGAAGGATTATGCAAGTCAAAAGAGCTCATGACCTTGATTAGACTTTGGAAACTGCGCCTCAACATTGATAGTCTCAGATGTATTCAGATGGGATTTCATGAAGGTTTAAATAATACGTTAGCAACTTGACTAACCATAGTGACAATTTTCTTCTTCTATACAATCATCGCCATGAAATAATTCCATTTTAAGGTAGTTGTAGGATAGGCAATTATCATGCATACGATTTTGGTGGGATGTAATATTCTCACTATTAGCAAACTAACACGGAATTTTATTTTTAAACGTATTATCTTGTTGTTCCACTACCCCAAGTGTCTGCACCTAATAACCATATGAATAGACCCAAGAGTTAAATGACCCTGACAAAATTTTGTATAAAGCATTTCGACACACCTATAAATCACATAAAATTTCTTACTGAAAAGTGTCTCTGTGTGGGTTAATACTTGACACCAACTGATAATCTTAGACAGGCCATTTTTTCAGGTAGACAGATGATTTTTATTTCGAGGAATCGAGGTTTTAGATTGACAATATGCGTCAGCAACTCTATACAAGTAGTAGAGTCTATATCATCAGAAGAAATTACAGTACCAGTGAAAGAAATAAAGTTTACAAAGCAATGATGGTTTTATGCTCCTCTCATAAGTGCACGTTAGTTTTCCATAAGTAACAAATTAGACTGACTTGAAAATTGTCTAGTGCTACATCGACAGTACAAATAATCGATGTAGAACACTCGTGGCTAACGGAACCAAAACAGTTCACAGCCTTATAAAGGTTTCCAGTTGACGACCTTTGTTCCTAAAAGGATGTTTTATACTTTGCATCTAATGAAATGTTCTATAAGGATGAATATCTTAATGCGTAACACAAGGGCCCCCAGTTTCAAATGAAAGGAAACACGTAGTAACACTGCCTGCGAAACATCATATCATGGGGTTAATTCTAAGATCCTACCACAATGCAGAAGAGCATGTAGGCTCTACACAATCACTGGCAACTATTATGGAAGGGTTCTTTATATCACACTTAGGTGTAACAGAGAGAAGGGCCATCGGGAACGGCATTCCCTGAAGGAGGAGAACTACGAAGTTACAGTGCCAGCATATGGCCCCCATCCCAACTTCCAGAACAGAAACGGACAACCATCCTTTCTTTTAACTAGGTGTTGACTATTTGGGGTCGATAGCAATGTCACTAAGTAGAACATCTGAGGAGCACTGTAGTTATACTTGCACGTATATGAAACTATAAGCTCTGTATCTAGAGGAAGCTAACTCATTTATAAAAGTGCTGATGAGGTTTATTGATGGGAGAGGATATCCAATAGAAATATTTAGTGACAATGGAACCGTTTCCGTCGGGACAGAATGAGAGTTGGACGGGTGCCTAGAGAAATACAAACAAGAAACAATGCATGATAAGTAGAGGTAAGTACTGGTGCCAGTATAGTTGAAGATTGGATGATCAATTCACGGTTGTTTGCTCAAACCCGACTCCTCAATATTTTTCGCGGGAGTCATCAATCCACCAGTCATCGTCTTATCGTTCGCTGTTCAGTGGAAGATCGAAAACTATCAGAAAACTTGTGTATTAACCTTATTGTTGGTCACATATTGACGCAAGAATAAAGGATTCTCGAGTCGCCAATCTGTGTTCTGGTTTTCGCATCGGTTATTACAAATTGTTTCTGAAAGTCTTCCAGGGACAGCGTGAGGGCCGACGTAGTAAGAGCTGGACACTGACAGTTTCTGAGACTCGGCTAACAGCGTATTTCTGACAGTTTCTGTTTGTCTTTCCTGGTGCCTGCAGGTCTTCTTTGGACAAGTATTATCTGAAAATTTTCTGGAATTTTTGGCCAAGTTAACTGATGTCTGGGTCAAAGAAGGGACAAAGCGTCTTGGAAGCAGGCAGGAAAGTAAGTAATGCTGAATTGCTTGTTGATTGTAAAGATGTGTGTGATGCTCAGCATGATCGGCGTGTTGTTCATGTTTCGCCGTCTAGGGATAACAAGAATTTTAAACTACCTAAGATTGAGCCTCGGTGTTTCGACGGAAACTCAGCTGACTATTAAACGTTCGTGAAGGAGTTTGAAGCATTATTGAGTGGGCTTTCAATAAATGATGAAGACCAATAAAGTGTGTCAATGCAGTTGAACATGGGAACGATCAACTCGTGGTTGTTTGCTGAAACCTAATTCCACCATATTTCTCCCGGGAGTCATCAATCCGACACCCGTCGTCTCATCGTACGCTGTTCAGAAGGCAGAATAAAACTACCAGAAGTAATATCGTGATTTGTTGCTGTAACATTTGTTCTTAGACCTTTCTCTGTAATAACAGTACTGTTAGTTATATGTTGGCGTCAGAATAAAGGGTTCTTGAGTCGCCAATCTGTGTTTTGGTTTTCGCGTTGGCTAATACTAGGCGTTTCTGAAAATCTTCGAGGGACAGCGTGAGGCCCAGGGTGGTAAGAGCTTGGCATTGGCGGTTTATGAGACTTCGCTGACAGTTTCTGATGGTGTTTGGATAGTTTCCGTTCGTCTTTCCTGGTGCCTGCCGGTTTTCTTTGGACAAGTATTATCTGGAACTTTTCTGGAATTTTATTCGAGTTCAATGATGCCTGGGTCAATGAAGGGAGAGAGCGTCTTGGAAGCATGCAGGAAAGTAAGTCACGTTGATTTGTCTGTTACATGTGACGATGTAAACATAAACAAGACGGAAGTTATGAAAATAACCAACCAACAACAACAGCAAAATCCAGCGTCAACCACCATCAACGCGAGGGATTTGAAAGAGGTTACTTCATTCACTTATCTAGCCAGGAAGCATTGTCTCAACTACAGGAAGTTGGAACGGACGAGGATGTCAAATCAAGCGAGAATCGGGAAGGCGAGAAACACATTCATCGGCCTGAAACCAATCTGGAAACCAATCTTCGTCACTCAGCCAGCATCAACAACGAAATTCGGTCGGATTTTCAATACAAACAACGTCAAGTCAGTCAGTCAGCTCTTCTATACGGATCAGAAACTTGGCGGGCGGGTCACAAAGAATATTTCCAACAGCCCGTTGCAGACCTTTATCAACAACAACTGTCTTCGCTCTATACTGAAGATCAGATGGCCGGGCCGGAAAGAAACACCAACAAGAAACTATGGGAACAAACAAACAAAACAAGAACCAATCGTCAACCAACAAATATACAGGAGAAAGTGAAAAGATGGATTAGACACTCGTTGAGGAGACCGCCACTGGGTGACACCTCGCGTCAAGCCCTCGAGTGTAACCCGAAATGGAAGCGGCGTGTGGGTCGTCCAGGGGTGACATGGAGGAGATCGTGTGAAGAAGAGTTGAAAGAATATGGACTAACATAGATGCAGGTGAAAAGTACAGCAGAAGACAGAAGAAAATGGAGACGTGCAGTTGAAGCCCTATGTTCCACTAGGAACCCAAGGGAGCAATAATAATAATGTCTTTGATGTTGATAAGGTTGATGTTAATGTTTAATAGGAATATCAAGCTCCCTAAATACGAACCTCGGTGTTTCGACGGAAACCCAGCTGATTATCCATAGTATGTAAAGGAGTTTGAAATCATGTTGAGTAGTTTTTCATTAAATGATGAAATGAAGTTGATGTATCTGATGAGGTACTGCACTGGAGTTGCTTCAAGAGCTATACAGTGCTGTAAGTTCATGTCCCCTAACGAAGGATACTTTGAGGCTATGAGTATACTGCGTCAAAGATTCGAAAGACCTCGATGATTGTAAGGAACGTATTCTAGGCTGTTAAAGGTAATGGTAGTGAATTAAAAGATGACTCTAAGGCACTCTCTGACTTTCTGGATAATCTGATGACTTCCAAGAATACGTTGATTTCGATGAATTGCATGAGCGATCTGAACTAGAGTTCAGTCCTAGAGGAAATAGAGAGACGCCTACCTACTCGATTGCAAAGGAAGTGGGTTAAGATAAGCTCTCGTATACAGGATGAAGGTATTGAGCCAAAGTTTGATGATATTCGGAAACTGATAAAAGATAGTGTGAATCAATCTATGAGCATGTTTGCCAGTATATTGCATCCCACCTCTAGAAAAGAGAAGTCACAGAGCAAAATGCAGTCATTTATGGTGAGGGGGTCTCAGAGAAGTGGATATCGAGAAAGCTCTATGGTGTGTAGTAATCCAGATATACTTAGTGAGTGTAACATCTTTCGTGGTGCATCCTCAACAGATAGGTTACAAGTTGCGAGACAAACACGGATTTGTTTTACACGTTTGCAAGAAGTTCATACAAAGGTGAACTGTGAAGAAGTGGCCAAGTTTAGTGGTAAGCTAAATGTAAAATCAGCGTCATCAAGTTCTGACTGCGAATTGTGTGACGATAGTGGTGCGGTGAAGAAGCCTGTAGTTGCAACTGGTAAGCTACCGTTGAACGGAGTGTCACAGACGACACCGAAGTCTGTGCAGGAGAAGAGGGTTACAGTTGTCGAGTCTAGTTCTGACTCCACAAGTTTACAAGGTATTACTAGTCAGAGTGAAGGTACAAAACCTTTAAGGATTTGAGAGTGGGAACCCAAATTGTGTACTGCTGTTAATAAATAGTTTGAAAATGATGAAGTCGATCATAAAAACAGAGGTAACGTGGATATTTTTGACATTGGTCATGATAGTGCAGATTTGTCTTTGACTGATCATGATGAGATTAGGAGGATGCCTACTACTACTGCTGAGTTAAACAAAGGTTCTGTAGAACTTGAAGGTGAAGTAGATTTAAAAGCAGATGCAGTTGCAGGAGGTATGGATACTTGTGAGGCCGTCAGTGTAAGTGATCAGCGAGTAGCCCATCTATCATCAGATGGTAATGCTAAATCGGAGGTAATAGTAGAAGACGGCTGTGGTGATAATCTTTCAGTCAGGCAACCTTCTAAAAGACGAACAACAACAGCCTCTGATCAACCCCTAGGTCCATCAACTGGTATCAATC